AGCACAAACAATTTCGTGCTGAAAATTTGAATTTCAAGATAAAGTAACCTGAACGACTCGAAACATGTTTCTTATAGGTTTTCGACAATGCTCTTTCAAGTGGCATCGTTTTTAAATATTGAGAAAGTTTTCTGAAGGGTTTTTCAGAGACCGGATCTCTGGAAAACTCCTTAGAAAACTTTTTCAAAACCCAACTCTCATGGCATTAGAAAGAGGATCATGAAAAACCTATAAAAAATGGTTCATGAAATTTTAGTTCACTCATAAAGCTAAAGTCTGCCGGCTCTAGCAAAAAATGCCCACTGTGCCTCTGTAAGATACGTGTATTCTGTTCTATGCTCAACTTTGTCCGCTTTCAACTTCATCAAAATCAAACATTATAAGTACCACAAGGAGCGAAGACTATAGGTATTGGATCATGACGTTGTCTTGAGGAAAAATGCACCACGACTAGAGATCGAATCTGCTACATTGATTCTCCTGTTTGACGCTCTAACATTGAGTTATCGTCAGTTTAATCCACATTAATCCTTTGTTTACCAGCGTCCCGACTTCAGGACGCTATTTTTTAAGTTTCTTAACTTCCGAATGACTCGCAACCGCAAAAAGATATCAAGATACTACAATGCGCTTTTGTCTGCTGATCACTAGTATGTTATTAATTTTGCTTGCAAGTATATAAGAAGTGAAAAAGACGGAAAATAAATGAAATAAGTGAGGGTTGAGTGCGACGTCTTCTTGACAATATTTTAGCTATGGATATTTTCGCCCTAATTTTTTCATTACTATATTTTTACATGATTATGACGAACATTAATCACAGAATAGAATGGACGACCGTTGGTTTCTCACCCTTGCCTCCCTATGTATGTTTCAATGGCGGATGCTCATTTTCAATATAATGATGATATCTCGAATCATACAATAGTTAACTTTCATACTTTGTGTGAATAATCTAAAGACATTTTAGAGTATCTGGTACAATTTTGAAGTGAAAATAATATTCCTAGGCTGAGTTATGAATTTTTTTGGAAGAGGGTCTCAAACTTCAAAAGTGACCCTCGATTGTAAAATAACTGTTTTCCAGTAATTATTAAGAGCTAACGCTTCAGATTCATATCATAGATAGAGGAGAGGCAGTGCTGCATTTTTGGTAAAAAGGAAAAGCTTTCACCTCGTTTGGATCAGGAATTATTAGCATTTTACGGAAAAGACATGAAACGCTTACATCCATCGATTTGAAGTTACTATCCGCACATTCGAAGGTACCAATGATTTGAGATATGATGCATTGGTAATAGTGAAAGTGGATTCAAAGAATATGTACATACAGCCCCAAAAAATTCGAACAAATAGTGTAGATCATTGCTAATTTGAAGGCTTTGGCATTACATTCATCCACATCAAATAAATTCGTCAGATAGGTTTTATACTTTCCCTTCTTTGCTTAAAGGAATATAATCTCAAATGGTAAGCAATAAAATATACACAGAATTCTTTTGATTTCTCACACTATTTAAAAAATCAAAATCCATTTGAAAGGCAGATTATTAAAAATAGTAAAAATAATTGGAAAAGATAAAATTAGACTCTCACACGCATTCTTTGTGTCACTTCAAGAATAAACAAAACAAATAAATTAACAATACTATAACCGGTTGTTCATATTTGACAAGAAAAAAACATTTTAAAAAAAACAGAAAACTTCAAAGAAATACATACATGAAAGGAGTATGCGTATAAGTGAACGAATAAAAATGAATTTATGGTATGAGAAAGCGAGAGACTTTGATTATAAATTTTGACTTTTTCACTCCTACTTTAAAACATTTTGAACAAAAAAACACTAGAAGCACCAAGCTATTATTATTGCATAATTAGAAAAGCCGCATCAATATCACACTGTTGATTCATTTAATGATGAATCTTTCGCCACTATGCTTGTTGTTGGTTCTGGCTGTTTTTCATGATGATGCGGATGAGATACGCTTCCAGGTCGATCATAACGCTGAGAAAATAACCAATTCATTCTAAAATGGAAATGGCAACAATTGTAAATAGAATATAGTTAAAATAAGAATTTCAATGTTATTTAGCGAACCGTCACACATCAAGCAGTTAATACACAAACATTGCAAACACACGCATAAAAATAATATCACATGCATGAAAACTACATCGTGTCAAACAGACACTTTTTGAATGATCAATTAGAAAGTGAATCTAATATTCATTCTTCTAGCAACTTGACATTCAACATGAGTAATATCTGGGGACTAAAGTCATACAAATACTGCAGGCAATGATGGATAAAACATATGCATGCCTCTCATATGAGACAAATGGCAAGTTGATTAAATACTGTCTCGTCCGCACTATCAGATCACTTACATATACATCGAGTACGTTTTCCAACCCGATTTCGATGATCAAATCTTAATAAAGACGTGAAACAAATCTATTCTATAATATATATACATCTATGTTATCTTAATTATCAACCTTCTTTAGAAACAGTGAGGAAATTACATGTTTTATTTCATTTCATATTTCGCGCACATTGTTGTTGCTTTTTAGTACTATAAAAAACACATATTTAAAAGAGAGTAAACAATTTCTTTGTTCTCTCAGGAAAACATAATTTTATATAAAAGCTTCTACTATGAAAGTGAGTAGTATTCATATAATAAAATAATAATGATAATAGCATGATGTTAGTAGTATTAAAAATAAAGCGTTAAATGGCTAACATATGACAAAATACTACTAACGTGATGAAAAGACCGTTAAACGATGTCTTTTTTGTATATTTTATAAATGCCATTATATTGTGTGTGTGAAATGTTTTTTTTATTATTATCAAATACTCTCGATTAACTACGATTTGTCGTTATCTGGCTACCTGTGTCATTTTCCGAGCGATAAGTAATATCATGTCTACAAAATAAATAAATTATCCAAGTAAAATGTATATCATAGGTGGTTAACCTCAGACAAGTCTCGCTAGAAGCAAAATTGTGATGCCCTTACAAAATAAACGTACCCATCGGTGAATAAATTAAAAACTGTATAAATTGTGTATTCAAGGCATTATAAATGTTTTTGCTCTAAAGCATACTATCTAGGCACCATCTATCTAGAATAGTTGAATAGTTCAAAATCTTTCAAATAGCAAACATTTTATCTCTAAATATAATAGTTTGGGAAGCTATTTCGGATTTACACTGGAACGATATTTTTTTATGAAATATATGTATATATATATATATAAGAGTTTAAAATGCATTTTAAACTTTCAACTATCAGACATACTGTTAAAATTATCATATAACATGAAATAATAATTACATACATAAGCAGGAAAGATGATTGATTCCGAAATAATATATACCTCAAAAGAATAAATATCGTTTTGTCTTTACAGATTGTTTGACTCGATTCTTTAAATTTACACTATACATAAGCAGTGAATCACAAATATCTTGAAGAAAATATAATACTGCTCACCCACTTAGACAAAGCATATACAACATATTTAAAATATAACTTTCACATACAATATTCTACCTCATAGTTTATTGAACATTATTTATTGATTCATTGTGTCTATAGAGTACAAAAGAGTAGATTATAGTTATAATCTATGGCAAATTTTCTAAGGATAGTCCTGTTAAATATAATATTTAATGGTTTTATGTTATACGAAATGTTTTAACAATCGATGCTAAATATATTTTACTTACTGTTCAACCATATTCGGTATTTCTAAATGATTATTTGGTAATTGTTGCTCGAGTTCGGCTATTGTGTAAACATAATGTACTTTATGATAAAATTTATTGCTAAAAAATGGTCGCGACAGAGCAATAACAGTTCGTAACCAACGCGTCGGATGAACAACATAAACGGATCGAAGATTTTTACGAAGCCTAAAATGCAAATAAGTTTTTCATTTATCTATATAGTGTGTGTATGAATAAATATTATACCTTAGATTAATCATTTGATAGCATTTTTTCAAAAACTTAAGATCGGGCATTCGATGTTTAGGCGTTGCACCGTGAAAATAGACCAGTACATAATCATTTGTAACCAATTTTTCTAGTTTATGGTAAACATAACTAAAATATCAAAACAATTGTGTGATGATAGATAAATAAATCGTACAACATAACACTTACTAAAACAGTTGATCCATAATATAACGATATTCTTTAAGTCGATGGTCCGGTAAATGGCAACCATATATTGCTATTATAGCTGTTTGGTTTTCTTCTGCAAGATGTCCTATTGTCAAAATAAAATTTCAATATTTTAGTTTTTGAAACTATTTTATTCTATTGAGTTTTATCTTACCGCCTTGACCTATGACACTTTTGAACGGTTTGATTATTTTAGCATCAATATCCACCGCATTTTCATCGATTAAACAAGAGATTTTACCATCTTTTTCATCTTCAGATTCGATTTCGCGAGATATTGAACGTAAAATAGCTTGGAAAAGGTAGAAAAAACTGGATTATATTCAATTTTCAATTTATTCAAATCTCTATTATCGAATGATGACATCTATCCAATATTTGGCGACAATCACTTGCATATACTTCCCAGTAGATTAGTCTATTTATTGTTCTTAAAATTGAATAATTATATACAATAAAATATTCACATATTTCTATTATATTTTATTGACATTCCGATCAAGCGTTTTTGACAGTGTATTCAATTCTCTTAATTGCATTTATTATTTAAACAGAAAAAATCTTTCCCATATTTTATAGAACTGGCATGATATCTTTCTTCTTCTTTCTGATACAAATTCTGATAAATAAGACGTGAACAATATGCAAATCTGAAACTCTTTCAATATTTTTTGAACAAAAGGCAATAAGAATACATACGTGAGTAGTATAAACAGGTATGAAGGTCTTGGTTAACATTTATTTCTGGACTTAGAGAAGAAAATAGTCTTATCCATTATCAGCTAGTATAATAGAAGTCAACATATCAAAAATTAAATGCGAGAAAAGAAGAGACAAAAGATGAAGGATTATCCAGAACGTCTTGATGGAATGCGATGTCTTGTCAAAATATTATTATTGCGATAACAAAAACAGAGAATCACGAAAGAAAAAAATGTTATCTAGTCACTGTAGCTTAGACTTGAGTAAATATTTAGCGTGGAATATTATTTGCTTGTTGATATTGTTGTATACAGACAAAACGAGCATAACGAACTTACGTTTTTTTTTTCGGTCTGTGACAATTTTCTTGAAACAACTAATGCTGATGTGATCGTTCAAGTGCCATCTGATGTAGCTCTGCGAGGTTTACTGATTATCAAAACATTTTTTTATTTTTATCTACTGATTAGTTTTTTTTATAAAAGAAATATCAGTCGTACGAACTTAGGAAAAATAGAGGTAAAAGTAGGCTCAGTCCGAGAGTGTCAACAATTTTAACGACTGATGCCGCTGATAACTGTTCGTTCTTTCTGTTTATTTAGAGTTAATAGCTAACATCTCAGGGTATTTATACATAGAAACACTCTTTCAAAATATCGATTGTCTGAGTTTGACTGTAGGTGAAAAACAAAACGTAATCGGACTAACACAGCTTTTTTCTGACATATTCTTCTATCATACTTTCTAAGTAAATGATATAGTAGAACTTATCTTATGGCAACCACAACAGAAATTCAAGCTCATATATAACGTTTGCCCTTTGAGTATCGGGGTTCGGTCTAATGATCTTTGAAACTTGTTTCTACAAAAAAAGAGGTCTTTTAACCACTTTCTGGAAAAAGTTGAATAATTTTGACTGACAAGCACCCTATGCTTATGAAATTTTTGAAAATGAATGAACATATTAATGTAGAATATTAATAAAATTGCATAAAGTTTTAAATTATTGAGTTCAACTTCATAATTGAAGCGCTATGATAGAGTGAAAGCCTGCCGCTGTACATTGATCGTATCGTGCAGCCGAAATTCAATGCGAGAGTCATTAGCGAGTAATAAACTAATACTCGTTACCTAAATGATACAAATCTATATTGTTTGTAGTTTAAACATCTTGGAAACAATCTATAGCAAATATTTTATAACTTTATCCCATTTTTTCTGTCTATTTATATGTCCTTTCCTTTTTTATGCTATTGTGTGTTCACTAGACTCTATTTCTTGTTCACATGAGAAAAACTACGCAGAAAAAATATTTTCATCATTGTTTGGAGAAAACAAGAAACCGCTATTTAACCAGAGGAGAAAACGGAAATTAAATATCAAAGATTATAAACACAAATAAGCAAAAAAAAAATATATATATGCTCATTAACACATATATAAATGTTAGAAAAAAAAAACGAACTCTATATGTTTGTTCTCGTTGTCGTCTTTTTTTTTCTACCAGTCAGTTAATACTAATCTGATTTAGGTTAGATACTCGAGTAAAATATTTGTCTAGCAAGTAGAAACTATGATTATATGGACATAAAATAAAATTGTCATATCTTTAGCAATATTTCTACTACATCACCAAAATAGTCCCTTGCTTTTCAAGAAATCATATCCGATCTGAAGTGGATTATACATTTTCACAAAATAACTGGATTGATATATTTATTTATTTTCACTATAAAAAAAGAAATCTGTTAAAAGTTGGTAGAAGATATACTAGTCTGTAAATATTATCAGAAAATGATAACATTTAACATACATCTTTGAACAAGTGATGATTCATATATTTGATATATAGGTTTGAGAGTTATATGTACTATGAAACGAATATTTTCTTTTAAAAGAATAGTTATGTAGGTATTTGTGCTCTATTTTTCAGGTAAAGAATTCAATGTGACAATTAGTAATAATGAATGATGCGCATGAAGAAGAAGAAAATGTGAGTGATACATTTAAAAAAACATTAATACTTGGTTTTACTCCCTTACTAGTGGCTCTTATCGTGTATATTATTTTAACATGTTCGGTTTATCTATCAAGACGCTATAACACATACCAATTAAAAAAACAATTTGCTATTAGTCATTGTTCCCATCAATGTTTAATCGTTTCAAATCCATCAATAGTAGATGACACAGATTCAACAATACTTCATGTTGTTTAATTATGTTTTTTTCAAAAAAAATTTTACCAAATAAAAATAGATGTTTGTTGATCAAACAAATGACTATACTGTAAAGGCTGAACAATTCCTCTGAGATGATTTAGATCTTACAAAAATGTGATCATATTTAGAATCGAGATGAAGTCAAAGTATAAAAAGTATGAAGAAGATTTAGATTTCTTTTTCTAGTAAGTTATTTGAACATCTGAATGATGTGTAGAAAATACAGTGTACTTTTGGAAATGTATATTAGTACCAACGACGACAACTCGTGGGCAGCCATCAAATGATAAAATACTAATGATATGTTGAATACATGTCACTGATAACATTATGTTAAAAGAGACGGCTACTAATATGATATGTAAGTTTATCTCAACAAAGAAGAAAAAAAAATTGTTCTGTGTTGTCGTTGTTATGATTATGGATGTACTATGTAGAAATCAACAAAACAGGCAGTTAATACAGTTAAATTTATCAAGGAAACTTTTTTTTCTAAGAAATGATTAATTATCTTATATGACCACAACGTTTTGTTTGCTATTTTCTGTATGGATTGTATTGTGGGAGAAAAAGACAAGAAAAAACGGCATGGAATGAAAATAAAGACAGCAAATGTCTGGTTTTTCGCTATTAACAACTACCATTATAAAAAAATCAAGTCCGTAATTACCTATTTAAACTAATAATTCTGTTTGATGATTTATTATTATGAAACGTTCATTATAAATTTTAAAGAAACCTCAGTTTTACACCATTTCTTAAACGGAGTTAACGTTCAGGTATGTCTATATTACGCTTATATCTTGTTTCACTTAAATTTATATTTAGAGATGGTAATGATAACTTATGTGACTACAACTGATACAACTAACCCTATAACATTATCGACAACAACTCTAAAACAGACTCCTGTATGTGCCGCAGAATGTCTTAATCGTATTGTACGCGCTATTATATTCGGTGTAATGCCCGTAATATCCATACTCATTTGTCTTGCGCTAATTCGTGTCATTATCAATAGAATTGAAGTTTTCTATTATCGTCGACAAAAAAACTCGACTCAACGAATATCGTTGTCAGCGTACCAAACAGGTCGTTTAGTTCTTCCCTATACACCTGTAGCACCTGCCGAACTACAACGGATTATTCAAGGTAGTCATACAACAACATCAGAAAATGGTAAACTGAAACATGGTAGAACAGCCTTGAATAATAATACCTCAATATTTTTTCAAACAACTGATGATACAAATACAAATAATAATCGAAAAACATTCTTAAAATCGATCACTACAAGTAAATCGAAACAACCACTATCCAATGCATTATCGTCTCTTATAATGAAAAGAGATAACGGTGAAAGTAATCTGTTTATGTCACTTTTAGCCACATCACAAACACCATCACAAACAACACCAAAATTGAATGCAACAAATGAAATGAATATTAATGATAAACAATATTTCTGTGTTAGACGCTCTTCTATTGAAACTGTATCAGTTAGTTCATCAGTTCCACACAGAAGTTCAGACATATTAGATTTATACTACAAAATATCAGAAGAGTCTCAAATAAATGAACCCGAAACAACGACGATGATTGTTCAAGAATCAACAGAAAACTTTGAATTTGATCCATCGTCTCTCACATCGTCCGTAATAGGATATGAAAATATGAAAAACGAAACGCCAATTCTATCACCGTCAGATAACAATTGTGAACAAAATCGTTCATCTCTCTCATCAAACGAATGTTTAGCTGAACTGCATCATCATAGGAAATAAAAAATGTATATTCAAATTAACACAATGGAGAGTATTTTGATTACTTATTGGGTCTCTAGCTTGTTTTAAATAATAGGAGTGTCATTCTTTGTTTCATAAAATTACTAACTATACGTCTTAAATTCTACGTTTCCATTTTTTTTATTATCATACAAACATCAATAGTTTTGCTTATTTATATGAAAAGTAAATAGAATAGGCATTGATAATCAGTTGTCAGCAGTGTACTAGAGCATTAGAATAGAATATCGTTTGATTACTCCAGAAAGCCTTTTAAAAGGACTATAGATATTTTGATTTTTATCGAAATAACGCCTCAAACTAAAATATCAAATGTACCTTTAGAAAGTTATTACATTTTGTCAACAATCCGGAGAAATATAGAGTACGAAATATGTACTACCGTTTATATCAATGATTTTGAGCATTTATTAACGCTACAATGACTACCATGATGTAACTACATTTTGTCGTTCACTTAGAGAACCATGAAGAAGTTAAATTTTTTTCCAAATATATGTTTCTTTCTTTTTGTATCGCATATGAACACGCTCATCATTCATCGCTATATGATACAATAAAATCAGATAAATATGCAATGGTTCAAAGAAAAGAGAAAAAAAATGGAGGACACTTTTTAATTCAAGATCGATTATGCAAAAAACGTAAATGTTGTTTCATGCAGCTTTATATATTGAATTCTGAAACATTTATTTATTCACCATATTTGCTTTAAAAAATAAAACATGACAAGTGAATAATCTGAGAAAACGGTAAAGATGGTTGATCAGCCAATTAAGAAGAAGTGTGAAGATGATTTGTTAAAGTTCTTCTTACATGGACACTACGATGTCAAATTTAATTATAATAAAAATGACGAACAACTAATCAAAGTTGATAATAGTGTTGCCATTTTAAATGATACAAACATAAATATTAACGATAATTCTGAACAAGAAATAGCTATCACTAATGAGCAGTCTACTTTAGAAAGCAGACCTATACTGACAACATGTAGTAAGACACCAATCAAAGATTATTATGGTGACAAGTTGGAGAATCCACAATGTGTTTACGAGGAAACATACATCATTAATATATCGGTAAAACCAAAATTAAATGATGTGAATAAAGAAGATGATGAAAAACGAACACGAAAATCTAAAAATCAAACATTTGCTGTTAGTATTGAGAAAACCGCCGTTGATGAAACGCTGCCATCGAATATTGATGATGATCAACACGAATCAAGTACCGAACAATGTTGCGATAATAACAGTCTATATGAAAGTGATGATGAGTATTTTGTTAAAAAACAGAATTGGACTGGACCTATTATTACCGAAACGGCATCAACAAATTCTGAAAAAGTACCAGAAAAACAGTTCATTGCTACCTATGACGCCAAAAGTGCTGACAAGGATTTATCTCTCTCAGATATTCTTCATAAGACACTCACAAACATTGCACCACTACCACCGTTAAACAAAGATATCAACGACGATGATAATTTCGATACAGGCAAAACAAGTACCATTTCTTCATCAATATCGTTTTGTGATGATTCAAAATCTCCAACGTATATCAACGAAATTATTGGCGAGGATTGGTATATTGATGAAAATGGCATTATTCAATCGGAAAAATATTCTGCGAATATTCAACAAAAACATGATTATGAACAACTAAAACCAGTGTTAAATGCTGTAGAAACAATTATTACTAACACAGTTCGAGAACATCAAGCAAATTCAAATTATTCAATACAAAGCAGCTGCAAAGATTCTGAGCAAGACGTACGACGACGGAAAATAACATCTGCAGAAATTGATCACTTTAAAAAACAACAAGGCATATCAAAAAGCAAGCAAACAAGCAATAATAATCAACAAGGTCCGTTAAATATAAACGAAATACTCAAAGGAAACATAAGTGATGACGAGAAATTGATGCAATATCTTGATTATATCGAACGGCAAAGTAATCAAGGGTTAGTTGTAAAACCAGATACACAAAAAAAACTTTCACAACAGCAATTTCAACCGTCATCTACTGCACAAACAAAGCGGAATAACAACTGCAGTTCCAATCAAGTAAAGTATATACATTCATATAAATTTAAAGTGTTTCCAAACATCTTTTTCATTTTAGATTAATGAGTCTAAAGAATCTTCACCTGCACGAAAACCAACAAAACAAAAAACTATTCAAACAAAAGATGAATTATCATTAAAATCTCGGCAAGAAAAAAATAATTTATCAAAGGAATTAGATAAAATATATCGTTCATTAACTGTTACAGATATGTTGAATATCAGTGACGAAGTGAGAGGGAAAATTAAAGGTTTATATAATCTTATTAATGGTGATGGTGGACAAAATCATCAAAACTCGAAAAAAAATATAGCACCAAATATTTCTCTTCATCCATCCCACCAACTACGCCAACACTCACATCATGTAGAAGCACAATGTAGATCACGCCAGGAGCTACGAAAAGCGACCATACAACAATTTAAAACAGCCGCGGATAACATCCACAGCGTACGTCCAGAACCACCATTCACTGTACAACAATCTTCGTATGTGAGCACTTCCCCCAATAACAAGTATAATCTTCGACAACATGGACAACTAAAAACGTCTGATACTGTCGATTTGTATCCATCGGAAATATTACTGAATGATCAACATACATATGCACACAGTCGTAGTAATGTTAATCTCAAAACAGTGTATGCCGATCGTGATCAATTATTGCTTGACCAACATTTAAAATGTATTGCCATGTACAATAATTATTTACGCTCTATTCGTTCTCCTGCAGAATATCAACTTATAAATCAAAGAAGTATACGTCACCGACTGCCAAAACAGATAAATCCTCCTCGTATATTAGAACAACATTTTCTTAATCAGTTTTACAATTAATTCTATTCTTCTCTCGCTTACCTGATTCGGATGTAAGTCCTGGTTGTAAATCGGTAGTACTTCGAATTCGTACATCGGGATTCACTGTTGATGTAAGATTAGCAGTGATATCAGAGTGTGTCCGTTGTTGTGTCTGTTGTTTTGAATCACTGTTTAAACCAGAAAGTAGGACATGTTTGGGACTAATATTATCTATAATAAAACAAAAAAATGACCTTGTTGGTCTCAAATGCATAAAAAAGAAAAAAGAAAATAGAATTTTAAATCCGAGATATCTAGTAATCGTCTTTCATGTTAAGTTTTAATGAATTACCTGATGGTTTACGAATTTCTACATTCGTAAGCACAGGTGGTTTGTTCTCTACTCCATCATCAGACGGTAGGTGACTGTGAGCACGATAAGTGGCATTTGACGCCGTAATTTCCACTGTTTTATTTAACGGTTCTGTAGGAATTTCCTAAAAGAAAAGAAAGTCTTTCTGCCATTGTCAATAACAATATGTACTAAAGCTAAAAATTTCGTATAGACGGAAAAATAATGCTATAACACAAATCTCAAAAATGTCCTGTGATGCAAGTTATTTGTTCTTCGTTTAGTATAGAACGTTTAGTAATAAATTCTGCATACCTTTACAATTTTTTGGTTATTCGTTGATTCTAATTCTAAGCGGTCCTTCTCCTTTATTTCATCTTTTGTATTAATTGTTGATGGAATATTCTCCATGTGATGTGTTATTCTGTCAGCATCATATGAATTGAATGTAGGAGTAACATCCATTTCATTAATAGCAGATGCGTTCGATGACGAGGAAGACGTTGATGATTCTAATGTGTCTTCTCCTGTTACTGATTGATTTTCGACGTTATCAAAGCGAACAGTTTCAGCGAACGGTTTTTGTTCATCTTGTACAGCATTCGCAGTTGATTTAAAATAAACGTCATAATTATCTGGTTCTTCTTCATCACCCGAAACACTTGCAAATTTAGTATCGTTTGTTGTTGTTGTTGTTGCGGATTTATTCGGTGGATTAAATGCGTCCGTGAAGAAGTTGGTATAAGAATCTGTTTGTGTTAAAAAAGGACCTTTTTCATCTGTTACTTGAGCTTGCAGAGATGTTGAGCTTTTTGTAGTGGGTAAATCAAGCTCCCATGGTTCATCGCCCAACAGAAGGGTTTTCTGAGGTTTTTTATCACTATCCGTTATCCAAGCATCGTCTTTGCTTTCAGAAAATTCTTGATTGATAGTAGGTTTAAGTGAAGTAAAGTCTTCTGGAGTAGCATTTAAAGGATAATTACTACCAGAGACTTCAAACTCTGTAGGATGTTGTTCATCAGAATCCGTATCGTCGCTATTAAGCGGAACAACATCATTGGCTTGAACGGTGTCATCCTGAAACAAATGAATGGTATTTTAATTTAATAGCAAGAAATTGTTCTATATTGTGTGATCGAAAGTACTTACTTGTGAATAAGCGATTTTTGATTCATCAAGTGCTTTTGATACCAAGTCATCAGCTACCGTAACTATTTCGTTCTAGAATAAAAGACATTATATTATAAGATAAGAAAAACAATCGACAGTTAGACGCATGGAAACATAAAGTGATTTGATAAATCATAAGCTATGCAAAGCAATCATCTATTTAGCAAAAATGTTTAAAACAATTAATTGATAAAGCCTATTCAGTGACAGAGCGTTTTGTAAATACTCTAATATGAATGTAAATTCAGGCAGTTAGTTCTAACAACTATAAATAAATGTTCTACATAGAAAGAATAAACTATTACTGCATAATCTGCACGAATGTTACCTTTTTTGTTAAATAATCGTCATATATCGAACTATCATCAGCACTGTCATCTATAACTGGAGCTGTAAAAGAATATTTCATTTTCGTTCCTAATGGATCGACAGTCAAATGAGATTCATAATCATCCAACGCTTCTTCTTCCTCGTCTGTTACTGTTTTTTCATATAAACTGTCTTGTGCAAGTTTTGAATTCGGTAAACTTGTATCATGTTCTAACAAATCATTCGAAAGTTTTTGTTCAGGATTTGCTGGTAAGTACTTTGCCAATATATCAATCGTATTTTGATCGGGAGGTTTCGGTAAAGTATCATTGACCAAATCGCTAGTGTCAGACAACGTTGGATCAACAACACGTGATTCTACCACATTATTAGATAAATCATTTTTCCAAGAATATAAAGCGGTTACCGAATTATTTCCTGAATTGTTAACAAATGGATCTTCTGACACAGTCGCAAAATTGTTCCAAAAAGCATCAGATTTATCGTCAAATGGGTCAAAACTTTGTGATGCATTCATTTCGTTTGGCTTTATCAATACAACACTATTATCCACTTTCATATTGGCTAATTCGTCTTCAGTCGAAACATATTGTGCAGTAGAGGCGCTCAACTCCGGCACCATCTCATTAGGTAAATTAAAGTGTTCGTCAACAATTGTACTCGAATAATCACCTGGCGATTCTAACGTAATGACATTTTCAACTGACTGCAAAATATTAGTAAGATTATCCCCCGCCACAATTTTCTCCGTCATATTCTGATGCGCCAATACAATTGACGCAACATTCTCAGTTTTATTCCCTTGATCTGGTTCATCCTCTTGCATCCAACTTTCAATCACATTTTGTTCATTCGAAACTCGATTTTTCAACATATTTTCATCATTTAAATCAAGTTCATTAATCGTTAACAGATTGTCCGCAACATCTGATTCAAATTGATTTACCG